TTTGCTACAAAATAATTACATTATGTTTAAAACTTTTTTTAGAGTTTCTCAGTAACAACTTACTATTATAGCTCTATCAAATTATTTATATACATAAATTATAACACGATAGGTAGGTACATTTATAATATTACACGACGGCATAATTTACATTTACACTTTTCACGCCTCACCTACTTTTAATAATGCACCTGGGGGACGGAGTGGCCGAGGGGTCTAAGGCGTCGGTTGTGACGCAGCCGACGCTGGTTCGATCCCATGGTCACGGGCGGCATTTTTCTTCGGGCAAGTCACGGTGTCCGGAGAACAAGTGCTGCCATCCCCCACCTGGGCATAGCAGATACCTACGAGTGCCCAAATCGAAAATTCTGCCAAAACACACACACACGTGTTAACAACCTACGGTCCCCCCCTATAGTACCACAGGCTAATGACCTAAGTTGTCGAAGCCTTAACTCTAATAAAAAAAAAAAAAAATAATGCACCTATACTGAAACAATAATATTTACAAATCGTGTATATTATTATAAAACAGCGCCGTATGATGTACCTAATTCAATAATTTATTTTATACAACGTTTATTCCCATATAATATGTCTTACACTGTGCACTATAATATAATAATATACTGTTGGACGTTGATGAAAATTGATAAACGTCGAACTCCTGTAAACGTCACGCTGGATCGAAATTGTCTCGTCACGATGATAAAATAGCCGGAGGATTATTGGAGTTCTATCTATTCGAAAAAATTCCAAGAGATATATAGTCCAATAATATGATTTCATGCCTAGCGTGGATCACTTCTTAAGGCCATAGGTAGATATAGACATATAGTTTTAGGCGTATCTACTCGTTACAGTATTTCGAAAATTTTCGAACACTAATTATTACTATTATTTATTACTATTAATGACTGTACGCGTCATGCGATACTGCGATATATTATTATTATTATTTAATACTAAATATTAATTTCAAATAAAAATTATTATTTTCCTTATTATCATCATCATTAAACTTGTAAATAATATTATAATGAGTAACATTTCAAATGGTTTAAATATTGATAAAGTCATTTTCAGAATATTATTTTGCTCGTATGAAACGGATTTGAGTATGTTCAACAATCGATAGGTATTCAGTTGCTAGTATTTTATATAATGAAAATTATCATAATATTTCGTACAGTTAATTAATTAATTGAATACACACTCAAAGAGTAAATAGAAATCATAGCAATAACTAATCATATTCATAATATAAGTGTATGATTGGCAACTTTTGTTTACAAACATTAGGTAGGTACATACCTATTTTATTACATAACATTAACACATGTCCATATTGTATTTAACTCTTTTTATTTAATTAAATATAAAAGTGACTAGGGAATAGACATTAAACATTACAAATTAAAAAACTTCTGGATAGTCAATTGTATTACTGAAGTATTAAGTATCTATTCTACTATATAACTACATACATACAAATTATTCATACATTAGTTTATGCACCCTCCTAGACTTAAATGATGGATTTCCACGCTTTAATGGATGTTTATGGATGTTTAATGGATTTTCTTGCAATACTAACTTTATAAAAAACCATTCGAAGGTTTTGCCTTTGAACTTTTTCCAACTTATTTATAAAGCCAACTTGAAACGGGTTCCAGATGACTGATCCAATGATGTAAAATTCAAACATACATTTCACTGAGGCTATAATATACCATTAAGCATTGAGGATAATTGGATTCGGATCAGTTTCTCTTATATATTTGATGAACCATGAATTTATTATAAATTAAGTTTGTGTGTTATGAGAAACTACAATTATAAGAATACTAGTATTATGTACCAAATAAATAAGCCAATAAGGTACACTTAATGTATATTGCGGATATCTTTCGGCCTCATAACGACATTAATCTAAACCCCGAATAATAAGAAACAATACGCAGCTTTCTAAACAGCCCCCTCAACTGTCACTACCAATAAAACTAATTACACATGCAAAAATTAAAACCAAATAAATAAATAAACTACAATCAAATAAACCCCTTAGATATGGTTAAATAACTAACAAGATTTTGAAACATCCATCTCACAAATCCATTCTCTTTTAACTTTAGTTTAATGCTAAGTCGAAGATTATCATACATTAATCCAGTATGGACGATTTCTATCATAAAAGTGACCCATACTGGAAAACCAAAACATTAAGTCAACTCATATTCATCAGCCTTCTACCAACATGTAGCAAACTATTCGAGGAACTCTTTTAAAACGACTTCCTGCGATTGTCTTGTGAAAAGTAAATAATACTGGACACCCAATTCGATTTTCAATCCTACCACAATTCACCACATTCATAGGATAATGGGCTATATATTTTCATCCTCTTTGGAAACAAAAAAATACTACTCAGGTTCTTTTCGTGGCGTGACCCAAGCATACCACAGAGTATGGCACTATGACCTATTGTATAAATTAAAATCCTTTCTACCCGCCTCTTATATTTAAATCATATTATCTAAAAGACAGATTTTTTGCCAAAATACGTTGAAAATCAATCGCAACGTATCCCAATAATAAGGTGGGAGTTCCCCAAGGAAACGATCTTTCATCAAGCCTCTATTTTGTTCTGTATCCCATCTAAATTACAGCAAAAGGGTTTGTTGCTTATAATTAATCATATCGAATGCTATCTGTAATCTATACATAAATACACTACGCTTGCCATAAATGCATAATATCAACTTGACTGTTAATCAATTAGGTATTAACTATTCATTTACATCGGAAAAAAATTATGAACACAATACAAGCTAAAATATATTGTTGGTATTAAATCTGGGTCAAGATTGGAATCCAAGAAATGATCGATAAGATGAACAGTGTTTTTTTAATTTAAAACGTTACTAAAATATATGTTGTGATTTTGACGTATCGATAAATCAGTAATATACTGAAACAAACATCTAAAAAGGCTCAGTCTTAAGTACAAGACATTTGCTTGATTGCTTATTTTTATTAAGAGCGAAAAATAGATTACACATTTTTGACCTGAGATCCAAAATTTCTAGTTGCAGTAGATTTAGTAGCACTAGTTTATATAACGTAACCTTTTCGGGCCTTACAGTTGCAGGTAGAGCTGCCGGGCAAAGTAACGGTTCGTTGAAGCTAAACTGTAAAATTTTTTACTAATATAAGATATTATAGAGTACATTCATAAAGATCTAGTAAAAGTATTACAAATAAAATGTTTTTTTCAGATGTTCAATATGATTAACCTTAGTTCGAAAAGAACCTTTTATGGTATTATTATTCGAAATATTCATTTATCGTTTGTACCTATACATTACATTTTATATTTTGTATAACCATTCATGAAATATGTTTTAAACCACTGATTTAATCTGGTGTTTGATATTCTTACTTTTTTTATTACATTTGTAAAATATCGCGAAAAGGAAGTTTTGAAAATGTTATCACGACATCATTATTTTAAAAATAGGTACCATTTCCTGCGAGTACATAATATATAATATTCTGGTTTGAACTTTTTATATTCCCACTAGTTATTACACAAAAACGTCATCCGTACATATTTTTAGGGATGTATTTCTGTTGTTTTACCTTGTAAATGATAAAATACATAAATAAGTACCTCAGTAGTAACAATGTATACATCATAAAGTTATAAATAAAAATTTAATATTTTCTGAACAATAAAAATTAGTATAATATTACTTACTCATTTTACTTTACTAAACATTTTATAATGCACCTAATTCAATGTTAATTTTTCAACTCAGTGTTAAATAATATATAAATTACTTTAAAATGAATGAAAAGACCAATTTCATACCTACTAAAATAACTTGGAAAATATTTTTTAAAAAATTATTTACCTAATTTGTATAGCCATTTGTACATACCAATTTATAATACCATTTGTATTTACCGACATTTTATATTTACGATCATCTCAAATCCTTATGTATTTACTCAAATAGGAAACATAGATAAAAAAAAATAGTAATAGTTAATAAGTAAATAAATTCAGGTAAAATATATAACCATAATAACTTGTTTTTTAATTTTGATTTCCTTTTGTAGGTACGTGATAAGAACACAATTCAATATTATTCTAATTATTCTATATTATGTCATCACTATACTCGATTCTTTGATCGTAACTGTTTGATAACATATCTTCTTCTATATGTATATATATATAAATAAATGAATGTGTGTGTGTGTGTGTGTGTGTGTGTGTGTGTGTGTGTGTGTGTCCATAGATAATGTCATGATAATGTCCATAGATAATGTGTATGGTAATGCCCATAGATGATGCCCATGGTAATGTCTATAGATAATGTAAATGATAATATCCACAGACAATATTACCAAGGTTACCATGGTTACAAAGGTTACAATGGTTACCAATGTTACTATAGTTACCATGGGTTTTGAAGCTATTATAATAACAATTATTGGTTGCCGGGAAAGGAAGTGCACGAGATCATTTGGTACAGAGTTAGATTAGACCTCTGGGCAGAAGATAGATTAATTTAAAACGAAGAGGACCAACCTCGGGAGGTGCTCAAACGAGGATTTTGAGATTTCCGAGGGAAATTGTTGTTTATAAATGGTTGCTGTTATAATAATAATTGATTTAAAATCGTTGTTATGGTAACCTTTATATTATAAAATAAAACATATTATTCATTTAGAGTTGGTATTTTTAATGGGCGACAAAGTGCACGGGATCAGCTAGTAATTTATATATGAGACTTCGTACTATGGAAGTTTTACTGTATTTACATTTTAAGACAATGGGTTGTTATAGCATTAGATATTACAACTATTCCGTTTTACACGGCGTATGTTCTTATTTAACAAGGAAGTATTTTACTCTTTTACGATGCAATTAATAATTATACATTATAATAATATAATGTCACAATATTAGGAATTTAGTATATGCTTACCGCAAAGTCTATCAATACGTTCTCGTTTCTTCTCATCCTCTTCAGCTATTTTAGCCGTAGACTTTACACCTTCGCCCGACTTTTGAGACTTTTCCACAATTCCACAAGCCCTGAGCACGAATGACGGTACCGTCTCTTGTTTCTCTTGTTTGGGTATCTCTACCAGCGTCCAATATTGCGTTTCCAACCGGATGACGTCCTGTAAATGGACAAAATGTTTCACGTCCGGTATATATTATAATAAACGGATTTCGTTGGTATATTAATAAACCGAGCTTATTGAACTCAACCGTATAATAGATAATAATAATAACAATAATAATGTGTCGGACATTAAGTTGAGAACAAGTGTTCAGGTATATTGTAACGGCTAAAAGAACGGTCGGTGATAAATGATATAACTTTTGACAAAAGACAATAGAGTTTTGAAAAGTAGCCGAAACTTTCCGTCTAAAAGTAGTCGGTTACAGTAGTGTTCAGGTCATTTCTTGGCCATTATTTTACCTCGAAAATGTTTTATACTTATGCGATCGTGTACGGTTAGAATGAAAAAATATGATAATATGATCGCATTTATAAAATTAGGATAGTAGAGACGTATAAATATATTTTATAATATGCACAAAATTAGGATAGTAGAGACTTATAAATATATTTTATAATATGTACAAAATTAGGATAGTAGAGACGTATAAATATATTTTATAATATGCACAAAATTAGGATAGTAGAGACATATAAATATATTTTATAATATGTACTATACATATACTATATTTAGATATTAGGTGTCAAAGTTTTTTTATAGCCCTTTAAATAAAATCAATTACAAAATAAATAACATTTTTTTTTTGTGTCAACATCGGTACACAACTCTGAACTAGTACAAATAATGAACAAATGTATAGTAATTAGTAGATACCTGTATGTTATTTTTAACTGACGTTATTCGTATGAATTTTTTTACAGAACATGTAACTAACGACTTTAATATCATGAACTAATGCTGATTATTGGTACATGATAATAGTAAAAAAAAAAATATAATAGTACGATATATTATTTCAACATTATCATTTATATTAGGTGAATATAAAATGTAATTTATACAATATTATATTCAAATAAGTATATTAAAAAAAAAAATATAGAACTTTTAGTAAATATTGTGGTATGTATCTTAATAAATATAACAATGGTAAGTTCATAAATTAATTTAAAGTTTATATCTATGGTCTACAATCATAATTGATAGATACCTATCAATCATTTGGGTGATAAAATCAATGGTAATTTTAACGAAAATAATTAAAATATGCATGTTTATCTATCCGATAAAAAAAATTAATTTATAGAGTTTCGCAGTTTGAATTGTTAATACCTAATTAATTTCTTTTGTGTAATTTTTTTTTAACACATTTTTTCTTTTATTTAATCATAGAAGTAAAACAATAGTTTATATGGATGTTCTTTTTTAGTATTAATTATAATTATTATTTTAAATAATATTGTACAACAGAGTGTAAGAATAGTACCTTTTATTTCTTAATAATAATATCTTACCTTAATCATGGCCTTCAGGAGATTATACCTTTGGAAGACATTTCGCGTTGACTTACTCTCTGTATACTTAGTCATTAGTGTAATGAGTGACTTTTTAGCCGTATCATAGGATTCTTCCAAACGAATTCGTACTGCTCTTAATCTTTCATTTGTTTCTATTACTTCTTCTTTGGTCTGGCCACCTTAAAAAATAAAAGCTATCAATAATTGCTTATTCAATTTTCATTTTAATTAGTGCCCCTTATGCTATTTATTTTAGACACTCATTCGAGTATAAATAGGAGGGCTACCAAAAATCCCGATATTTTAAAGATAACATGTTTGATCTTTATTTTGATAAAATTAAGCTATAGATTCTTAAGCTAGTTTAATTTTGGAACTTCTCAGTAGTTTTTACTTTTTCTATATCAAGTGAAACTTCTTAAAATCAAATAATGTTTGTTTTGTATACATTTTTTTAAATTTGATAAATCTTATTTACATTTTAAGAAATATAGAATACTGTTAAGTGTAAGATATCAAAATAATAGTGCCGAATGCCAATACATTTATACTCGATAAAAAAAAAAAAACTGTTATCAGTTGACAGCTGTACAGTTATAGGTGCTCCGCTCACAAAAAAAACGATTGGTAGGCCTTTTGTCCTTTTTAAGATTAACACATATTTTACTCCAATAAAAAGTACAGAAAATAGATAATTAGTAATTATTATATAATTATTAGTAAGTTAAGTAGATAATTTAACGATCAAAGTTAAATACCCTAACCTAACCTATATAGTTCTAAATGTATGAATTAAAATAATTTGTTCGTAGTTATATGTTTCTAATTTGTAAGTAGTACCTACTATTAATAATAATAAAAAAAAATAACATCCAAAATCGTTTATCCACACAAACGCAGTATATCTTGTACTTGTTCCATTTACTACCTACCTACTCAATGATAATCTAAATAACATTCCCTTCAAAATCATTCTACATTTCTACGTGAAACAAATCTGTACGGCTTCACCAAATCGTGTGTATTCAATAATGGATCACATGCTATTCAGATCGTTTGAAATGAAAGATGGTGTTTGATGTTATATGTAATCTCGTTTAGGAGGATTTAATCTAAAATGATTTATAGTCATGACTTATGATATGTAGCATAGCGTGTAAAAGGCTTAATTGGGCTGTAGCTTTTAATCTGGATGTGCACAGTATATACTATAGACGTATGCCAAAATGTATATACACTTATCAACGTTATCCAGAAGCAATTATTTGACTTGGCTTTATTCATGGTATCAAAGAATTTACTTTGATTATAATTTCCATCACATAAACGTATAATGATATGCGTTGGATATTTTAGTTATTATAAATCATAATTCATAAAATTATTTTTTATATACCTACGGTAACTTGAAAGTTGTTTTATTAATTGTATCTAAACATTGATGTTAATATTATATTTAATTCAAATACGTGTTATATATAAAAGGAACATTTCGTTTTTATTTCAGTAAAATGTTGGTAAATGTTTTTCTAAGTATTTTTGGTACTTTAATTTGATTCACTTTGTTTTATTAACTATACTATAGATACACAAGGTACAGAAATAAAAGTTATTTATACATTTAGTTTTAGATAGGAAATACTACCTATATTAGCATTCAGATTTTAATGTTGTAACTAAAAAAATTAAAAATGCATTTATTACCAAAAGCTTATAAACTGCTTTTAAAATACCTATATGCATTAAAAAATTAAATATTTTAAAAGTACCTACGTAATCGGTGGGTGTAACGATCTTAGGTCCACACTCCACACGATGAATGATGAAGAGTTCAAAATGGCAAAGATATAGTATTATCATTGATTATGAAGACAAGTATTTATAATCAATGGTATTATATTATAACTTATAAAGTGACTGCAAAAACATATGAGATTAAATTTGAGTCTTTCTTACATTTTTTTTTTTTCGTACACTAATGACATTTCTCTTACATTTTTTAGGGTACCTACCATTATAAATACTTTATAACTATTATTTTTTGTACATGGATTAGGTTTTTTATATTGATGCTCCTACCACCATATAAAAGTTATGTATGTACGCCACTGATATTATATCGTTATAATAATAGGTTAGCGTTACAGTAATCAGCGTTAGTTCCCTTTCCAACGTACCTATAGATTTACCACAATAATGAAATGCAATCAATGTTTTCATTATCTTGGGATAATGTTTTTTTAAGGGTTCCAGCGAGTAGTTATAACGATGCACGTACTTATAAGTGTATAATACGATTAATACGAACCAAGTTGATCAGTTATACTTTATAATTTATATTACTGTTGTTTTACTTGTTAAAACGGTGTTTGGTGACAGACTGACAGCGACGTGCTATATTATTTAGTCATGCCTATGATGTATAGCTTGTAGAATCCGTAGTTTTAAAAGGTACGTTTCACCAGCCTTCCCCTTCTATATCAAAACCTGAGTTTTTATACTAATAGTTAGTACTTATGAAATTAGAATGACATGGAGAGAATATTTTCAGAATTTGCCCCGTAATAATTAAGAGAATATTCAAAAGAGTAATACTATTTATTTGTGTGTGTATATGTGTGTGTGAGTGTGAGGGGAGGGGGCTTACACTCCCCCTACCAGTTTGTAAAAATTAGATTTCTAAACCATGGACAGAGTGAGCTTAATCAGATAATTTTTGACAAACGCATATTGGTGATTGAAAGTTCAACGTAGGACTCGCAGGACTCAAGAAATCCATTTTCTCCACTAGTTTTTTTTTCCTGTAAACTTTGTTTTACTCAATTAGTTTTGACATTTAGGTAAGGATAATTGCAATAATATAATATAAGTGAAACATAAAGCCGTTTAAAAGACTATATTTTTTATAAAAACACGATATAGACAAGGAGAATTTATTGTTTGAAATCGCGTCAATGACATGTAGGTGTAGGCGCTTATATAATTTGTGTATCGCATAATATTTTCATTTGAAATTCATTATTATCAATTAAATATACATAAATAACAATTCGCAAACACAAGAAACCAGCACAAGTCACTGGCGATATATTGTTGGTTGGTTTACCTCATTCGAGGTTACATTTTAGTATAATAGTAATATCCCATTCGATTTTTTTTAAATTGTTCTTCCTTTTACTATCGTCATCATCATCTTCACACCACTGTCTCCTGCAACCTCAAATTTACCATTGATTATAATAACTCGTAGTGTCACTTACTACTTAACATGATTTTTTACTGGTCATTTGGTATAGAGACCAACGTAATGTCCGAAGAAAATATTGTATAAATCATGTCGATATTGTAATACCAGTCTGACATAAAAAAGACGTTTGAACTTTGAAAAAAAAACAATGCAATCGTATATGAATTCGTATCAACCGAAAAGGGACCCGCCCTGCGTTCGCCACGTCATCATCATGACTATTCCGACGTATATCAATGAAGTCTCTCTAACCGTTCGACGGACGAAAGGGTAAAGAATGGGGAAATTTTGATCGACATTCGGCCCAGTGCCAATAAAGCGCCAACTATAACTGGAACTGGAGCCAAAGAGTTTAACGGGGACGCGACACGGAACCTATCATCGTGACGTACTCGTATTACGGTTGACGGGTGTCGGAGCGCATACGTCAACAGCGGCGGCGTTCGAGTCGAATAATTTGAAATTCTGCGGAAAACAATTCCGGAGCCGTCGTGCGAGAAAATGAAATACATTCGTGAAATAAATATCCGAGGAGAATAAAAAAATAAACCGGAACGCTCGACTCAACGGAATGAGAAAAATACATTTTTAAGAGCGTTTTCCTTCTAAACGACACGTATTATACCACGTGACACGAACATAATATATAATACACGTTGTTGCACAATGTATAAGATATTATAATATTGTATGTGTGCTCGCGGTCCTGTGTCTAATACAACAGACACGATAAAGGGTCTTTGGGGTACCCACTGCAGGTGTTAATAAATAATTATTGCTGCGATCGAGTTAATATTATAATGATTTAGTTCTCAATAATCGTGATCAAACAATATTTGAACCGACAAAGAACGTAACAATTGAGCATGGAAATGCAATATAATATATTATACTAGTTGTATTACCAGACTCTGCCAGGGGAAAAATAAAACAAATATAAACACAAACCAATTAAAAATAAAAAGCGATGTTGGTTGTAGATATCACAGAGTTAAGTATTTTTCTTCAGTTTATTACAAGATCATCAATAACATTAGATTTATGTATAAATGCCTTACCTACACACCTAGCTACAAATATAGTACTAATATAATATATTATAGGCACAATACTTAATTATATCTGTCATCTCATCCGCCAGATGGTGCTAATTTATTCAAGTTAGGGACATTTTTCAAAAAAATCAAGATGATGCAAAAATGAATGGAGTGTGCACCAAGAATTTAATTAGTGAAGCTGTTACTACTGTTCCAATAGTTGTTGCTGCTTAATTACCAAGTCAATCACTGATTCCACGAACAATCCCTAGAGTGAGAACCAAAGTTGAAGTTTGTCTTCAAAATCCATTAAGAGTTAACGATAAATATATATCTCGAATACCAGTTAGTTAATAATAAACAGTTTTTATTTCACAACAGTAAAAAAAAAGAACATTGATTTTTTTGACGATTTCTAATTTAAAAATACTTAAATACTGTAATATTTGGATGGCAGATGAGACGAAATTTTCGCTCAAAATTGAACAGTTATTAATTATATACCATACTTTTATTTTATAACCAAACAATATCGTATCTATAATAGTTGTATTAAAATAAAAAAAAATGTAGTAAATTGCTAGGAAATACGAACAGTTCAACATTTAAGAGATTCATCTTACAATATTTAGTAGTCTTAAGTCTTGCTATAAACTTGATACCTAGATGGTATCACTTGTGTATTCTTATTTCATCACTCCGATTTCCTGGGATCCGGAGTTTGGTCATAATATTATAATATTATATAATCTATGATGATGAAAGAATCCAGACAGATTCACTGATGTTAAATTAGTGAAAATCGAATAAGTATTTTCTGAGATAACCCCGATTCTACCTTATTCCCACCCACAATTTTCGTAAGTACTAGGAGTATATTACTAATGGAATACAC